AACATTTGGTTGCATAACTATACTTCTATTAGCTAATTAAGTCATAAAAGAAAGCATTATCTTTGTAAGTTATTCTGTTTGAAATTAGCTTGTGTCATGAATTCTTATAAACTACTGTATTATTAGAAAACAGATGCCATCATACAGTTCTTCTATCTTAGTTCTTGTGGATTTCTCAATTATTTCATTGTCATAACTGTGAAAACTAATGAATACTGGAATAAAAGAAAACTTTGATGGAAGAAGTCAAAACTAATGAGGATTTTATTCACTCACTAAAAACATAACAACTACTTTAATCAAACACTCTTATTTGTATATCGATCTTATTGACATTTTATGATTAATGTAAATCTATCAATTAACTTGCTCACATAGGGCAAGTTATGTTGACCACAGAAAGCGAGCTCTTTCAAAACATATCTCCAAACATTACTCTGCCTGGATATGTAAAGAACCACAAAAGTCAGTCAATTGTTCAAATTTGAAACACTTGTCTAGTTTTAGTCACACTGCTCCACTGGAATCTTCCTTCAAAATTATCTATACAGTTAGAAGATTCAGTACTAGTGTATAACTCACGTATAGTAGGGGCTATAACAATTCTTTAATTCAAGCCTAATCTTTTTATATAAAAACAATATGTTCAATCTCACTTTCGAATATAGTCTAAACCTTCTTTTAATTCTTCCATAATCTGTCATATATTTTTGTTTCTATTCTATTCCAGTTATTTTCACAACTATTAATTATCCGAGATTATCACAAATTTTGAGTATTCTCTTCCTAACATCTATCAAGGGGACACGAGATATATAAGCGCCACACGAGTCTCATTTGATTTGGGTGAAGACTATGATACTGCCTGAATGCCCAGACGAAAGCAGGCGGTTTTCTTAGGGGGCAACATCCGGAGCCTCCGACCTGAAGGTCTGACCCACAAGGCAGTGGATCATCGTAAGGAGATGCAGTCCCATGGTAGCCGGTAACCAACGATTGGTTCATAAGCCATTTCTTCCCTCAGGATACTGGAGCCCATGTTCACCATTGGTTTGAAATCAGGGTTTTCCAACTCCCCTAGTTGGACTCTCCGTTTCCACCAATGCAGTTAAGGCTCCGGACATTCGTTTTTCGTTCTCTCAATTTCGTAAACAATCGTGGTAATATTTATCACAAACTGATTATTCCTTTTGATGTCAGATTTACATAAACAATTCATAACTTTATACTACTTCAGGCTTTTTTTGAATTCGAGATTTTATTTTATCATAAACCATTACATTTTGTAAATAGAATTAACTATAACTACGATTGTACAGTTTAAGTAAATGAAATCATCGGAAAGAAAATTTTCTTCGCCAAATTGTCTTTACTTTATGATTAGTCGACTTCCAGTGTAGGGATAATACACAAATACATTTCCCATAGAACAGCTACAAAGCACGTGTTGAATGTCATACTGAATAAAGATTCATATTAAACGATACAAAGAATATTAAATTGGAGAAACTTATGTCACTAAAATAAAACCAATATTATACTATAGCAACTGTCCTACAATCAATTACGATTATGGTTAATTTTGGTTAAGCGCTTTTGTTAACCTACTTAACAGACAATGTTGTTCGAACAGTAACAATTCGTATATTTCTTTATGCTATTATGATCACTATTAGGTCTGTATAAACGTGTACGCTTGATCACATGACAGCTACGCACATATCTCATTCTAGCTAAAATGTTGACAGCCTAAATATCTCTTGATGAATCATTCTCTTACCTATGTACTCGAATCCTATTGTACGCCTTTGCCAACCTAGCTGCAGCTTGACGCGATTTGACTATAAGTTTGCCTCTGTATTTGCCCATATATATCACTGATTGAAATCATGAGTTAATTGAAGCTATACCACCATGGAAAACATGGAAGCCGCTTCGTATAACCTTCTGATTTTAAACACTGTTACGATTTATATAATAACGGTTACCAAGGTAATTGATTAACGAAACTAAGGCACTACGATACTGGACAAAATTCGTATTGAGTTGAAGCGTGATTTCGCATATGATCCTGTCCTAAACACTTAAAAATGACTGAATTTTCAATACGTATTAACTGGTTCTCATGCGAAATCTAATAGAGATTTAAGTAAGCAGATGTGTTTAGTAATAAACTAGTAAGAACAAGTTGTATGTTATACGTTGCGCATAAAAAAATATTCAGACACTAGATACTTATCAATAATTATACTTAACAAGTAATTATACTCAATCCCATCACTATTTTTATGGTTGAATTATTCAAAACAGACTGAATACATGATAAAGGTTTTACAATTTTTAATTAAACACATGCTTAAACATTAAATTGAATAAACTGAAGACGAAGAGATTAATTTTCGTGGTTAAACAGTAACAACTACGCTAACTATCATACCAACATAACTAAGTTAAAAACAGTCATAGAAAATTTCCATGGTTAAGATCATGAGTAACTCCGTCTGTAGCTCTCCTAGAGTTACTGCCAGTCCCAAGCCCGAATAAAGGAGGAGGGTTGAGCATTGGGTTAGTGACCCCATCCCGTAGAAAACTAACTCGCTAAAAAAACAATAACCAGAAAAAGTAATTCAAACCATTTAAACTCTGCCCTTGGGGTTAGAAGTTCTTCATTTAGAAGAACTATGACGCCTCATATTGAAAGCCGAGCTCTTTCGGAATCTATGAAGTAAAAGCCCCTTCTAACAACTAGAGCGACAGTTTTTATAGGTGCATGGAACGTCCGGACAATGTGAGAGACCGGGAAGATCAGTCAAATAGCAACGGAAATGAGGAGACACAACTTGGCAGTACTGAGAATCAGCGAAACCCGTTGGACCCAAGCTGGACAACAAAGGCTAAATACGGGAGAGATGCTGCTATACTCCGGTCACGAAGAGGAAAATGCTCCAGACACTCAGGGAGTTGCTCTAATGCTGTCCAAAGTAACACGAAATGCACTTGTAGGATGGGAATCTCACGGATCCAGGATCATCAAAGCATCATTCAAAACAAAGAAAGAGGGGATCACAATGAATGTTATCCAGTGTTACGAACACACCAATGATAGCTATAAAGACGGATCAGTTCTACAAGAGGCTGTAATGAATTATAGCGAAGTGCCCAAGAAATAACTCCACCATTGTTAGGGGAGATCTAAACGCCAAAGTTGGAATAGACAACACCGTATATAAAGATATCATGGGACGACATGGACTGGGAGAGAGAAACAAAAATGGGGAAAGATTTGAAAATTTATGTGCATTCAACAAATTGGTCATGGGCGGCACGATATTTCCACACAAAGCTACGTGGCTCTCGATGGATCACACCACAAGGAACCAGATAGATCATATTTGCATCAATAAAAAATTCCGAAGGACAATGGAAGATGTGAGAAGCAGGAGACGAGCTCATATAGCTTCAGATCACCACCTGGTTGTGGCCAATTTAAAACTGAAGCTAAAGAATCACTTAACAGCTGTGGAAACAGCACTACAAAGGTTCAATACAGTCTTCTTTCGAGAAACTAAGAAACTAAACGAATTCAATATAGCTCTCAACAACAGGTCCCAAGCCTCACAGAATCTACTGAAAGAAGAAGAAACTACTATGGAGGACAACTGGAAAGGTATCAAAGAATCATTAACTTCAAAGTGTCAAGAGGTCCTGCGCCTCAAGAAGCATCATCACAAGGAATGGATCTCTATATAAGCACCGGACGGAATCAAAGAAAGGAAGAACAAGAAGACAGCAATTAACAACAGACGAATACGAGCAGAGAAATTCCAAGCACAAGCTGAATACATAGAAGCAAACAAGCAAGTGAAGAAGAGCATTAAAGCCGACAAGAAAAATTACGTGGAGGAACTAGCAATGACGGCGGAAAAATGTATACATAAAGTATTGAAGTCTATTTTAATGATTTCACGAATATGTTTTCTTTATTTTGAATACATATTTGGTTAACTTATGTTACCATGTACCTTTTCTAAAGGTTATAAAAATAAATTAACTTTCAATAATGTATATTTTAAGTAGTACAGTTAAAGTCTTTATCATCAATAATGTATCCAATCCAATAAACGATTCTTATTTTACAATAATACGGTACTGATCAAACCGAGTATCCTTATGATTCTTAATATGTTCACTGAGAAATGAAAATATTTAATTGAAAGGTAAAGCTATATTATCTTGCTCGTTTCAAGTTCTTATAGATATGTGGCCGTTGATCTGTCTCCATTTAGAGCGTACGAATGTTTGTTGTCACCTATTCTCGTATATCATCGTCGACTTAAATCACGTTAGTCAATAACGGAATTTAGATAAGTCAAATAACGAGAACGGGATTTTGAATACATATATTTTGTATGTAAAGTGAATGTAATAGAACAGAGCAAAAATGACGCGCATGGAAGATGGCTGGGAAGCCAACTCCCATTTCGATGAAACGAGACACAATATTTATAGTCAGACAAAATAAAGCTACAGACATGTGATTAATAGGATAAGAAGGGCACACACATATACGCTCATATAAAAACAGTCTAGATTGATAAGCGAATAAATAACAAGGTCAAAGTATGGCTCGAGTAGAATGAATAAAATGGGATGTCCGGCAGCTAGAATAAGGTATATGGGCTTGGCATAATGACTGACACTACAGATAGTCTGTTGGGGACGATAGATCCCCAAACTCATATTTTAAAATTTATCTTATCGATCATCTTATTGATTAAATGTTAGATATTTTTATTGGGGTCAATTGGTGAACTAATCGATTAAATGTTTGAATAGCAGTCAATTGATGAACTATCGATTACATGCGCAAATAGGTCAATTGGTGAACTATCAACTAAATGCGCAAATAGGTCAATTAATGAACTCATTGATTAATGTTTAAAAATTTTCTATCGATTGTAAATAATTGTATAAATACGCTTGACTTGTATGCTTGATCTGATCTGCCTGCCTGACTTGTTATCTGCTGTTTGTCTGTAGAATACACCTTCTACACCTTACCAAGACTTCTTGATCGAGTTAGCAGAGTTGGGGACAACGGACCAGAATAGTCTATCGAGTCGCTGAATCATTGATCCTTCGTTCGTTCGAGTAAGACGCATCAGTAATCGCATTCAAGCAATAACGAAGCATAACAAATTGGCGACGGTGGTTTTTCGATTATGGACCCTGCAAAACTTGAACTGTTACTTGAGCAGCAGCTAAAATTGATGCAAATGTTAATGGAGACCAAGGTTACGCCTCCTTTACAGCCAAGCACGTCGAGCTCAACCACGGCACCATCGGTAGATGGCATCGCAAACAGCATAGCTGAATTTCATTACGATCCTGATTCTAATGTTACTTTTGAGATGTGGTTCAGGCGTTATGAAGATCTATTTAAATTTGATTTCGCCAATCAAGATGATGCTTGGAAAGTGCGGCTGCTACTTCGTAAACTGGGTGCAAATGAGCTGGACAAGTATTGCAATCTGATCTTGCCGTTGAACCCACGTGATCGATCATTTGCAGACACAGTTCAAACATTAATCCAGCATTTTGGCGATAACTCGTCACTGTTTAATACTCGTTATCGTTGCTTGAAGCTAACTATGAACGAAGATGATGATTTTCTTACGCATGTGGGCGTCGTCAACCGTGAATGCGAACGCTTCCGGTTAAAGTCCTTGACTGAAGATCAGTTTAAAGCCCTGATCCTTATTTGCAGCCTACAGCACCAAAAGTTCAGTGACTTACGAACAAGGCTACTAAGTCGTTTGGATCAAGAACCGAAACTCACCCTGAGTGATATAGCTAATGAATATCAACGTCTCATTAATCTTCAACGAGACACTTCTATGGTCCAGAGTGGTGGTTCTAGCCGATTTGAAGTACGAGCGGTGCAACAGACACCTCACAAAAACAAACACGTCCCCGCTTCATCCAGTCCATCTCACTACAGCTCTAGACGACAGACTAAAGCAACTCCTCCTGCTCCTTGCTGGCAATGTGGTGCATGGCACTACGTTCGAAACTGCCCATTTAAACAACATCGATGCAAGAAGTGTAAGGTTATTGGCCATAAGGATGGGTTTTGTCTGTGGAAGAAGACTCCAAGTCAATCAAGAAATACCAACAAGACCTGTCCTAGATCCCGCACCAGTTCATTGAGCTTAGTATCTTCGTGTCAAAGCTCATCACCAAGTCAGAGAAAATTTATTACCGTTAACATTAATGGGCACCCATCTAGATTGTAAGTAGACACTGCATCTGATGTAACAATTCTCTCACGAAAATATTGGATCAGAATGGGAAGACCACGCATGGTTCCAACAACACAAAAACCTCGAACTGCATGCGGTAATTACCTACGTTTGTTGGGACAACTAGATTGTAAAGTGTCTTTTCACGATTCGACGTTTACCGGTGTATGTTACATCACACCAGCTGATCTTAATCTACTTGGGTTAGACTGGTTTGACCAGCTACATTTAGCTGACGTTCCTTTAAGCACCGTATGCCATCTGGTGAAACAACCTCATGAACCTGAAGCATATTCGAAAGAACTAATGACGGAGTTTCCAACCATTTTCCAACCTGGATTGGGTCGCTGCTCTGTCATGAAAGCAACACTTCGATTGAAAACTGGGGCTAAGCCTGTTTTTCGCCCAAAGAGACCTGTCCCTTATGCAACATTACAAACAGTAGATGAAGAATTGAACCGCCTTCAACAACAAGGAGTTATCACTCCCGTTTCCTACTCTGCATGGGCAGCACCTATCGTGGTTATTAAGAAGGCCAACGGCACGATACGTATATGTGCTGACTTTTCAACAGGTCTCAATGCAGCTCTGGAACAACATCATTATCCCTTGCCTGTTCCCGCAGACCTATTTACCATGCTGAATGGGGGAAGATTTTTCGCTAAGCTGGATCTAGCTGATGCTTATTTGCAACTGGAAGTAGACGAAGCATCAAGAGAGCTGTTAACTATCAATACTCATCGTGGTTTATTCCAGTATAACCGTCTACCTTTCGGAGTCAAAACTGCACCATCTATTTTCCAACAGCTAATGGATACCATCCTATCAGGTATCCCGGGAGTCGCGGCTTATTTGGATGACATTTTAATTGTAGCAACGACATTAGAACAACTACGAGAACGCACGAAATTGGTACTGCAACGCATCAGTGACAACGGGTTCCGGTTACGCCCAGAGAAATGCCAGTTTCATTTGCAGTCGGTAAAGTACTTGGGGTTCATTTTCGATGCCGATGGCCGCAGGCCGGATCCTGAGAATATCCGAGCTATCAAACTGATGCCAACTCCTACTAATGTCTCATCACTACGTTCCTTCCTGGGACTTGCCAGCTATTACTCAGTGTTCGTTCCATCGATGCATGATATTCGCGCTCCACTCAATAGCTTACTGCAGAAGAACAGCTCTTGGAACTGGACTAAACAATGTGACGCTGCCTTTTGTAAACTGAAGTCCATTATTAGTTCGGAATTGCTGTTGACACACTACGATCCAGCCTTGCCGATCATCGTAGCTGCAGACGCTTCAGCGCATGGCCTAGGCGCTGTTATCTCCCATCAGTTTCCGGATGCGTCGGAAAAAGCCATTATGCATGCAGCCCGTACACTAACCCCAGCAGAAAGAAAGTACAGTCAAATAGAAAAAGAGGCTCTGGCTCTTGTGTTTGCAGTACGCCGTTTCCACAAATTCTTGTACGGTCGAAGATTTACTCTTCTCACTGATCACAAGCCTCTTCTCACAATTTTCGGTTCGAAATCTGATGTTCCAGCCCATTCTGCAAACCGTCTCCAACGATGGGCTTTGATACTTCTGGGTTATGATTTTGACATTCAGTATCGGCGCACTCAACAGTTTGGTCAGGCTGACGCCTTGTCACGACTTATCAGCGAACACCATACGGCCGGCGAAGATACAGTTATCGCCTCCCTGATGACAGAGGACTACGCGCAGTGCTACCTGACAACTGCTATTCGTGCTTTGCCAGTCTCAGCAGCTGAAATACAATCTGCATCCAAGAACGACTCCATCATAAAGAGAGCGATGAAATACGTCACAAATGGCTGGCCGCCGACTGGACTCGATGGTGACTTGAAACAGCTTTACCATCGTCGTGACTCATTATGCGTCGTAAACGAATGCTTGATGTTTGGAGATAGAGTAGTGGTACCAGAATCCCTAAGATCAAAGGTGCTAAAGCAATTCCACACTGGTCATCCTGGTATAAAACGAATGAAATCCATCGCCAGAAGCTATGCTTATTGGCCCCTCATGGACCAACATATCGTGGATTTAGTAAGCAAGTGCACACAATGTCAGCAAGCAGCTAAGTGTAACGCGAAAATACTACCAGTCCCATGGCCACAGCCTGAGTATCCCTGGTCCAGGATACATGTCGATTTCGCAGACCCAATCAACGGAATCACCTATCTAGTTGTTGTCGACGCCTTTTCGAAATGGCCTGAAATCAACCCTATCATACCGCCAGCGACAACTAAAACAATACAGATCCTCACAGAAATTTTCTCTCGAAATGGTATACCAGATGCTATTGTGTCTGACAACGGGTCACAGTTCACCTCCAGCCAATTCCAGTCATTCTGTCAACGACTAGCCATAAAGCACTTACGCTCGCCACCATACCACCCGCAGTCGAATGGGCAAGCAGAAAGGTTTGTGGATACGTTTAAGAGAGCCTTGGCTAAAACAAAGGGGGAGGGGACGCCAGCAGACGCGTTGCAAAATTTCTTATACGTGTATCGAACAACACCAAATGAAACGTTGCCGGAGCGAAAGTCCCCAGCCGAGATCCTAATGGGAAGAAGATTGAAGACAATCCACAGCCTGATGCATCCAAGGAATGCACCGACACCAGTACGGACAAAGTTTGAAAAGCAATCCACGTACGAAGTTGGATGTCCGGTGTTTGCCCGTGATTACAGACCGACCCATAGTCCATGGACAGAAGCGCGAGTGGTCAAAAGAGTTGGCCGAGTCATGTACGAAGTTGAGGTAGGTAGTGACAGGTGGCAACGCCATCGGAATCAGTTACGCAAACGGTTAGCCCCAGACCGCCCATCAACAGAATCAAATATTCCTCTTGACATTCTGCTAGACACATTCAACTTACCGGCAACCCCACCACAAGAAAAACCTCAACAACAAACTGAAACACGTCCAAGACGGTGGCCTATCCGAGAATGGCGAGCAACAATCAGGATGCAGGTTGACCCCAGGAAAGCCCGCTATTAAAAAGGGGAGGAGTGTTGGGGACGATAGATCCCCAAACTCATATTTTAAAATTTATCTTATCGATCATCTTATTGATTAAATGTTAGATATTTTTATTGGGGTCAATTGGTGAACTAATCGATTAAATGTTTGAATAGCAGTCAATTGATGAACTATCGATTACATGCGCAAATAGGTCAATTGGTGAACTATCAACTAAATGCGCAAATAGGTCAATTAATGAACTCATTGATTAATGTTTAAAAATTTTCTATCGATTGTAAATAATTGTATAAATACGCTTGACTTGTATGCTTGATCTGATCTGCCTGCCTGACTTGTTATCTGCTGTTTGTCTGTAGAATACACCTTCTACACCTTACCAAGACTTCTTGATCGAGTTAGCAGAGTTGGGGACAACGGACCAGAATAGTCTATCGAGTCGCTGAATCATTGATCCTTCGTTCGTTCGAGTAAGACGCATCAGTAATCGCATTCAAGCAATAACGAAGCATAACATAGTCAAACCATAATTCTTAATGGGCGATTATCTTAAATTTCAAATTTGTTATTTTGTGGATGTTTAGCTTGACTTTGATTTGAAAAATGTTTCGTAATAAAATCAAAGTTTAAACGTACTTTCTGGAAAAATCATCACATTTCAACTGGTTTATTAGCATGTGTTTTATGAATACAATACTTTAGCCTATTAATAATCAATTCGCATGCATGTCATCGGCAGTGATGGATGGTGGCTAGCAGTGGAATCCAAAACTCGTGTTTCGTCCGATTTAGGACTCATCAGCTGGATGTGCCTGCATTCTGGAGCTCGAACCTAGTACCGTTAAGCGTCAAATGTCATCACGTTACCCACTTAGCTACTGCGACCAGATAGCCACTTGCTTTATGTAATAGGGAGAATGCTTTAATTTGTTTTTGTATTGTTTGTTTGAATCTACCCATTGATGTTCATGACTACCATTGATCAGTTAAGCTGACGAGTCCCAAACAGGATGAAGCACGCATCCTGGACTTAACTACTATCGATCATCCATTTCTGCTTATAATGCTTGTAATTTAAAACAATATCGAGACAATCCACACAGTATGCACATATGCTAATAAGAGACTGTTCAACTGCAGTCCTAAACATTAGTATAAAGATTCAAACAACCAATACAAAAATGAATTAGGTAATGAATGTTACATTAATACTCAATTAATACAAAATATGATGGGTAGTAGGTGACATAAATAAGTACGAATAAGACTGTTGATTACTGTATCAATATACACAACAGACAACATTTATTTAGTCCCCTTTTTAAAGTAATTCCCAGAAAAATTTATTTCCGTAAGAGTCTACTTGTACGGATAACATAAAAACTTTACACTTATGAAATAACGCTGACATCGGTTAGAATGTACACATAAATGCTTTACTTCAATGTATAACAGTTAATTACCTTTAAAACTTATCATTTATTAGTAAATTAATATATTTGTAATATCCCAATGTGTAGAAAAATTTAGTTTTCTGACGTTTTATAACTCAACGGAACAACATTAATATTGTTCCGTTGTAGTATTTAAACTTGGATTAATTTTGCTTTGGTTAATTATTCTCTGAAGATGTGGCTGACACTGAGTCACGAAACGTCAGAAAATCTAATTTTTCTACCCATTGGGATATTTTAAAAATAGATTATTTTTATTTATAACAATCTACCCAAAAGCTCAATTTATTTGAAATTATCGTTTATTACTAAATAATTGATAGCGTGATTATATTAAACATTATATATAGTATTTAGTTTGTCTAAGAAGGAAAACTAAGAATAGTATAAATTGTCTAAATAAAACAAACAATTCATTACTTTAAAAAATGATAAAAATTTGATCATCTACTCTCCTTATCAAATAAAAACAGATCAATTACATTGCAGACTAATCATTGCTTAGGGTTAAAAGAATAGAAATCACTGATTCTAGTATGAGCTCCTAAACGGAACAGCCGATCTCACGGTGAGTGTTTAGCTTCTAAGCCACTGAGTTGGTTATCGATGGAATACACACCTACCTTCAACCAGTTCGCGATACTGCTCGACCACCTTCCACTTCCTGCGATGATTCTCTGTCTCACATCTGACGTTATTTTAAACTCTATTGGTCACAGCTTCTCACAAAAACTTTTGACGTTTTATTGCAGAGTTAGCCACTCGTGAGCACGTGATTTTTTATTAGTACAGGGGTTTGAAATATTATGGAATTTTCATGGCTAAAATGATGAACTGACTTGAGGATATAATGTCAGGAGTTTTACTAATAAGCTATGTTCAGTGGAGTTAGGCCACGTCAGATAAGAGACAATTATCCACTGAAGGCAATGGAAGATTGCCAAGCAATATCGTTAAGTTATTGAGGTTAAGCACCTTAACGTTTGGTCTAGACGTTAAGTGCACACTAGAAAACCAAAGGCTCTCAGTCCGGCTTACGGTAACTTCGGGTATATTTACTGTTAAGGAGTCCTGTACTAGTGGAAAACAGCTGTCTAGTGCCTCCTGGTTCTTAATATTGGTATATCTAAAATCGGATTGCTGTATCAATTATGAAAATCCATCAGTCTTCGTGAACCTCTGTATTTATAAGTGATTTTGACATGGTAAAACTAATTACTTACTTGAGAATAACTAGTGAAGTGATAAAAAAGTAACTAGTGTTTCAGTTGTCTATAATTGTAATGAAATTTGGCATATATATTATTTATATGACTTAAGATTACTTTCGCTAGGAATTTGCTTTACATCAATTAAGCAATTATTAGTTCGGCCTAAAGGTGCTCAAATGATCCTTATTCTGTAATCTGTTAATTAATGAAACTATCAGGCTACTAAGCAAAACATTACTTATATTCAGATTTAGATTTATTTGGTTTTGTTATCCTATGAACTACTTAAATAGGTTGATAGCATTTAAAGTTGACAGTATTTTGTGAAGTGCGTAGCTAGGAAATCGATTACTCTCATTTCATCCTACTTTGAACCTTTCAGTAGAGTATACATTTATTTCAGTGCTGTTTACTCCAGGGCTTTGATTTCGAACTTTTGGTTTAAACACTAGAGAGTAGTTCATCAGGCTATTGAGTTGTAATAACCTTTTAATTGTGATGTTTTTTGTTGGATATTAAGAGGATATTTACGGTAATCCATCATTAATGGGATTTGTTATTTTAAGCTGGCAATAGAAGGTGGTGATAAAAATCAACCATATAATAGACAAATTAGAATTGCATTTTCACATTTACATTCACGAGTCGATCTAAGCTAAAACACCATTGAAAACCTGGAAGCACTGGACGGTCGTTTCTCCCTAGTATGTGATTAGAATTGAGAATTATAGCTACAGAAAGTATATAACTCTTAAATTGTTGTAGTTTAGTTGTGATATTTTGACATGATTTTTAAATCTGGTCTGTTAGATTAATAATAATCAGCCAATAATGACTTCAGTAGTTCAGGCTATATTCATCATGGATTCAAAATCAAATGATAAAACTTATGCATTTTGTACATAATACCTGTGTCTACTGTTTTAGTGAACAAATTTATCAACATCTATCCATATATTTTCCCTATATAGTTAGTTGTATATATCTGGGTATTATTTTATTTTGTATAGTGCTTTATATTCATCTGATTAACTAAAGAAGTTAAACATTGAATATTGCAATTACTGAAAATACTTGTTTAACATTTAACTTGACAAAGTTCACATTTTTTTTAAAAAAATCCATTTATTTCATGATTCTGAGTTTAAAAAGTTATAATTTGACCTTCTGAGGTTAACCTTATTATTATTATTCATGTAGACAAGAAAAGCTTTTTTAAATTCTTGTGAAGAGCAAATAATGTTGGTTGGTTGATGTTAGACACTATCACCACTGGATGCCGGCTCAGTGGTTCAGTAGGTTAAGCTTTCGCGCGCGAGACCGAAGGCCCTGGGTTCGAATCCCGCGAGCGGGATCATGGATGCGCACTGCTGAGGAGTCCCGCAATAGAACGGAACGGCCGTTCAGTACCCTCAGTTTTCCAAAGGTGGTCTATCATCAATCGGTTCATGATCTCAACTAAAAGGACACATTTATATTATGGTGTTTTTAAGTGTTTTCTTCTTTTTTCCATACAAATATAAACCACATAATTTATCCATATGAATTTATTGTAATAATACACATTTGATAAATAACTAAACTGTAGCGGCAAGTACGATAATCACTGGTTACTTTGTAACCTTCATTTATCTTTGAGATTATTTATTTGTTAATTGTCAAATACTTCGTAGTTATACTCAGTCGGTTGATTTTCCATATATAAATCATTAAAAAAAGCAATTGAATTTAATTACTCTATATATATATATATATATATATATATATATATATATATATATATATATAACAATTGCTGAGGATAACTCCTTTTCATCCTTATTTTATCAACGTGACCACTACATTTTATGTGACTCATCAAAATGGTTGAGAATGCGTTATAAACAAAATAAGAAAGATGTAAATATTAGTAAAGTTAGTTATGTTGAAAGCAAATGACTAGAAAACTCTAGACTTAGGTATTGTGCTAGTTGACATTTGTCTATAAGGGTATCTGTACTCTTGAACGGAGCTTGTGTACCCTGTCAAAGTATCTTCTATTGACAATCTACAACCGTCCAATATTTCAACAAAGTGATTACACTGTAGCTTGATTTATAGCACTCAATCAGTACAGGAGGACTATATATATGTATATAGATTTATTGTTAAATAAAACTTGCTTATTATTCGTTGATTGTGCGTGTTTATTTTCTGTCTATTCTATTCATTTTTACATTTTCGTATGTTTTTTCCCAGCATTTTATATTTAAAAGACAGAGTGTGTGTGTGTGTGTGTGTAATTTTTCAGTATAAAAGCATAAATCACATGGTAACAATCTAGTGTTCTTTAATAAATTTAAACAACGATTTCATTTCATAATGTTCTCAAAAC